AAAAAAAAAAAAAAAAAAAAAAAAAAAAAAAAAAAAAAAAAAAAAAAGGAGAAAAGGAAAGATGCAGAAGTGGGGAAAGGCATGATGGGCAGCAAAACAGAATCAGCAGCAGCAGCAAAGATGTCTGACCATTAAGCAACAACCCGATGGAATGAGTAGAATGGAAGGAATGTCTGCGATGCTGATTCTTCCCCAGAAGAGAAGCGGAGGAGACAATTTCCCCGTGGGCAGCACCCATTACCTAAGCCGGTGGATTCTCGGCGATACTCTGACCAGTCATCGTTCATTGAAAAATACCACCATACGCTTATTCTGGTTAGCCTCGTGGGGTAGGTACTAAGTCTACTTACTACGTAGTATGTAGTTGCGCCATTTATTCCACTTTTCTTTTGGGCGCTTTCTTTTCGGGGCCCCGTGACTCTTTACACTACTAACGGAGTACTCCATACTGTTACTACTTAGTGTCGATTCCCCATAATCTCTGACTGGTCTCGCTATCTTACTCCGATTTCTTCCTTTCCCACCCCCCCCAAGGTTCCAATTCCCTTCCCCGTTCCCCGTTCAACTCTCCACAAGCCCGAGTCCCTCATTCGTAACTTTGCCCTACAACCCCCGACACTAGTCTAAACTTCTTGCTGGGCCGTGACAACACGCGCCCCGGGCTGAAGCGAAACGCAAAGAAGGAAAGGAAAAGTAAAAAGTCAAAAGCATGGTCTGGATGGAAGCCTTCCCCACTTCTATTTCCCCCGGCAAAAAGGCCTTCCTGGCCAAGGGAAGAATGTTTACGCCCAGCTTTTTCTTACCTCACACAAGCAATGCCATCAAGCAACAAGCAATGATGGTCAGCCAAGACGGCACGGGAAGGAAACATGGTTTTACTGGCAAGAAGGAAAAGCTTGCGGGATAATACAGAGTTTATATTATAGTCTCTCATATTGAGACCTGAAGATAAAGGTAAGGTACACGAAGGCTCAACCACAGAAGACGAAAGCAGGAACAAACTCCCAGAGTCCCCAGTTCCCAAGTCCCATGACAACGAAAACCATGGAAAAGTCCAGTCCACTAAGATAGATTAGCTTCCTCCTCTTTGCTCCTCTCTTTCCTCTTCCTTCTCCTCCCTCTTCAACTTCATCATCCCGCCCTTTTTCCCCCATTCCGCGGACTCCATCCGAATTACCACAAGACAAGACACTAACCAGCAGTCCCCATCTTGCAATAAGCCCCTGCAGCCACTAATTCCTCTTCCTTGCCCCCTTCGTTTTCCCCCACACACCACCACCCCAGCCCAAGGTAGTACGGCGTACTCCGTAAATGGAGTAAAAAGTAAATTAGCCTAAACGTAAACGAAACTAAAAACGCAAAAAATCCTGCCCGACCATTATCGTCTTCCCGGCATGCCTACCGGTTTTCGTGCACTAGGATCCGCTCCCCCTCCAACATATGGCGAACCCGGCCGACTACCACTCGAACTGCCCGGATTCTGCCCGGGACTGGGAGACCGGCCCCCATGTAATCTGGCTCGCAGTCTTTCTTGGGCCGAAGCCGCTCGCTCTAGCCCTCCACCTGTGACTGGGCCCGAGATCGTCTGATACGACCCGGCTCGCTGGCTAGGCAGCGGTCTCGCTGACCCGGTCGGCACACCTGCACCAGGTGACGGACTATGCGGTGATGCAATCATCCCCGACGGTGCGCTGGCCGTGGCGGCTAGAGGCGCCCCCATGTTTCCACCATTGCCGGGTGTCAACCGACCTCGACGCAGACTGGCCGTCTGCGAGGCCGGCGCCGTCGCTGAACCCGAATCTCCCCACAAGTCTCCCAATCCGCCGCCTCCGCTGCGTCCATACGCCGATGCTGCTGAACCACCATTGCCGCCGCCGGCTACTCCTCCGGCCTGCACTTGCGTCGTCGCGATGACCCGTGCCGGCGCTGGTGTTGGCGCTTTCGGATCGGGGGGCAGCCAGTTCGGGAAGGGCCGTCCTTTTTCCGTGTAGTAGGCGCGCAGCACGTTGGAGATGTGCGAGCAGTCTTCGTTCTCTGGATCGTCGGCTTCATCGCCTAGGGTGATGGCTCGTCGGAGGGAGGTGAGCCGCGTGCCTAGGTTCGAGATGGCGGAGGATGAGGTCAAGGATGAGAACATGATGGTGTTTCTTGTTCTTCTTCGTTCGTCGTCTTCTTGTGATTCTGATTTGTTTTATGCAGGTTCCCCCTGGCTGGTCGGAGATGGGGTCTCTTCAAAAGGAGGTGAGTTGCTTAGGTGGGGTCCGCGGTTATCGGGGGGTTCAGGACACGAGAGGCTGATGCTGGTCCGCGGGGCGAAACAAGAGCCGAGAGAATTAGCTGCAGCGGTGAGGAATTAAGGTGTTATTGAACACGGTATCTCGAGCCGACCAGCGTGTAGAAGGGTGATCAGGAGGTATTGGTGCAACCCCTTAGGGGAGGTTTGACATTGATTGATTGATTGACCTCACGGCGGTTGTTGGCGATCCACTCAGTTTCACTTCCCCCGCTGCACGTGAGCTGCTCCAGTCGGTTTCTTTCTTCATTTCACCATCTGACACGGCCAACTGGTGGATCTTGTCTCAACATTTGTAAACTGGTTTCTGACCTTCATGTAGTTGTGATGTACATAGTCTAATGTCGCAGATCAGAACTTTGGTGAACAGTAAATTCATATATGCAATGGCGGGGTATGCATGCCCGATCGCAGCAGAGCAACAATAATAACAGACACAAAACAACTCTAAACCAGACAACGCCATCCAGTACACGAAAGCAGCAGCAACATCAACATCAACAGAAACCCGTGCTTTTATGTTCAATGTCTCACTCCCTTCAAGCCATGATGCTCTCCTTGCCAGCACCCTCAGTCTCGTACTCAATCTCAACACGGGGACCCTTCTTCCTCGGCTTAATCTGAGGAGCAGGACGCTTCCGCTTGAATCCAGGCGCAGGCTTCTTAGCCTCCTCATCAGAGTGATGGCTGTCATCCTCATCATCCTCATCACTGTCCTCCTCCTCATCGCTCTCATCATCATAATCGTCACTGGAGTCTCCAGACCCCTCACCAATCCAATCCTCAATATCCTCCAGATCCTCCTCGTCCTCATCAATATCACTAACGTACTCAACCTGACCAACACCCTCCTCTTCCTCCTCCTCATCCTCAAACTCAATCTCCTCCCCATCATCCAGATCCTCATCCCTCTCACCCTCTCCACTCCTCTCCAACCCACGCAACACCTTCTTCCAGATCCCCTCCTCAACATTCAACGGCCGATCTCCATAAGCACCACTCCTCAACCGCTCAATCAGCTCCCTCTCAATCGCCCTCTCAATCTTCGCCGCACTCTCCGCCTTGCGTTCCCTCGCCTCCTCTCTCCGCCGAATCTTCGGCGCCAACTTCGTCACCACCTTCTCCCCAAGCCTCTCCTCCTCCTTAGCCAACTTCTTCATCCGAATCGCAACCTGCGTCAACCGCGTCAGACGCTGCTTGCACTTATGCACCAGGAACTTTGGCCAGTAGATCAGCCGCTCATCCAACTGCTCCAGCGCCTTCGCATAGTTCGACGACAATCGTATCCGCTCCCACCATTTGCTAGGCATGTGCGCCCGTTCCACCGTCTTCATGTACAGGTACATCGCGCCTGTTTCGGGGTCCGACCGAATCGTGGCGTACCGCGAGTTGGCGAGCGGGCACGATTGCCGGTTGCAAAGTCCGCTGACATTGTATTCATTTCGGCAGAAGTTTTGGTTCTTGGTAGTTCTATTCCAAAAAGAAGAGGAATTATGATTAGCGTTTATTTAATATACTCGTGGACTATTTTCTCTTTCTTCTTTGTCGGCTCCGGTTGCGATATATGTGGTAGGCGGAAATTTTTTTTATAGCGCGGATGGATAGTAGAGATAGAATTAGAAACTTACTTGAGCTTGTAGGCGCAGAATTGCTGGTTAATAACCTGCCAGACAATTTCGTCGGACGACATCTTGCCAGATACTTCTCGCGGTGGATTGGTTTTATCCCCCGCTACAGTTAAACTTGGTTTTGCTGGGGAGGAAAGGAAAGAGGGAGGTGCTGCTTGGCCGTCAAGGTGATGATTTCTGCCGCAGAAAAAAAGTTGCCGCAGTGATTGGTCACGTGGGGGCCCACTGGGTTGCTTATCGATAAGGATGGTCTGTTCATCCATTCAAAACATTGCAAATGCTAATATATGAGTTGTAACACAGGAATTTGTAAAGAAAAGAGTGTTGTGTAATTGGGGTATTGTTCATTCATCACATAACGTTAACGTCTATCGTATGTACCGGGTCTAATAAATATCATAGGTTGTGATAATAGGATTACCATCCTTCCATTTGCAGTGGAGCTCCGTCCCATTCGGTCCCCGTCCCGTTCACCATAGGCCCGCCCATTTCAGCGTCCTCGCTGCCTCCAAAGGATTCCTCGCCTGCCATGCCCCATCCCATTGCTTCGAGCTCCCGCACGAAGAAATCCCGCTCTTCTTCCATCATGGATGCGCCTTCTTCGCCTCCCATCACGTCCTTGTACCGGCGCAGATGCCACCAGTGCGTCAGCCCGCGCAACGCCTGCTCCAGTGGCAGCGCTTCTTCCACCTCCGAGTCAATGTCTCCACCAGATAGCCAGTCGTCGCGGAGCTCCGGTCGGCAGTACAGATAGATCGCCGTGATCACCCGCATATTACTCTGTCGCCATTTGCGTCCACAGTAGGGCACCTGCGATTTGAAGAGCTTGAGCGTGTAGAACCGCAGGTGCGGATCGGGGATCTTGAGTCCCTTGCGAAGGATAGTGCTTGACTTGTACTGCACCAGGAGGAGGCATCGATGGGCCTTGTCGCGGGTGATCTTCTGCATGATGTGGAGGTAATTGATCGCTGAGAAAAAGTTGCGGAATGAGAACACGGTAATCGGCTCCTTAGGTGGGGGAGCTGTAGGATAGCCTAACTCGTCAACTTCCGGACGGTGAGGCCCTTCCATAAACTCAGGAACAGGTCCTTCGGGCGACACTCCGCGTACTGAATTGCCTGTGTCCTGGCGATGTCGGGTAATGGGCGGGGGGACAGCTTCGTCGTCACTAGGTGAGGAGTCCTCGTCCAGGTCGGTTGTCGATTCCGGCGGCTGGTTCGAGTGAAGATGGCAGAAACGGAAGAAACTTCGTTTTTGTTAGTATATCTAGACAACTGTATCAGGGGACCACCTACCCCAGTTCCTCTCGATCATTCTTCTGCGCTACTGCCTGATCCACATCCTGGTGGGCAAACATCTTCAGAATCAACGGCAGGTAGTTGGAGTCAAGTAGCAACTGCGTCATATACTCAAACTTCAAGATATCTAGGGCCTATTAGCACTTCCTTCCAACACATTCCAGATCGGGATGGCTTACGAGATCTCTTGAACCACTTGACAAGCAATAACAGAGATCCGGAGATCGCTTTTCCGGTGATTTCCCGGAGTCGAATGTTGTCGAGCTCGTCGATGGCGGCTTCGGAATTAAGATCAATATGCCCGTTGACATGATTGGCTGGGAACCCATTGATCACTGATCCATAACCATCACTATATATAATGCATCAGTATACGCTAGACAATGGCAATTACAGGTGTAACACATACCCCATGGCCTGCGCAGCTTGTCCATTGGCCTGGCTCACCATGGCGCTAACATTCGTTAGGATTATCTTCAGAAAGACAATCGTTATAGACTGTAGATGCACCAGTGCTTGTCTCTGCGAGTCGTCAGTAATTGTTCCGTCACCTGGGGCACCATCTAAACTCACGTAGAACGATTCAACGGCATCTAGGCGTTGCTGAATATCCGCATTCTCAGTTTCCTCTTTCGGTGTGCTATCAGTACTAGGCCTCTTCTCGGAGAAATTTAGTTCTTGCAGCTCATTCGCCAATCCACCAAGGGCGTTCTCGTTCAAAAGAAGCTGATTTTCATCAGGATACCAGCCGCGGTCGTATTTCATAAAACGTTCTCGCTCTTCCCAGAGTTGCCGCATCGCCCTTGTCATTTTGACATGAGTTGAGAACAGCCTCCCAGCCTCGATGATGGACGCCGGAACATCACTACCCTGCCACTTCTTTCCCACAAGATTATCTTGCAGCTCTGTGGTGCCCTTTCCTCCGAGGTCATTACTTGAATCATCTAGAGGAGGGTACATGAAAGGAAAGTTCTGGTTTGTCTGGTAGTTTTGCTTCTTCCCCGCTTTGCCGCCAGGGCCGATGGGTGACGGTGGAGGAGAGGGTGCCGGGGTAGCGATGTGGACTGGGTGATGGATGATTGAACCACTGCCACCCGCCACAGAAGGGCCAACTCCAGAGAAGGGACCCGCAGAAGAGCCGATCCTGCTGGGATGTTGCGGAAGTGGGGGAAGAATCGAATTATTTTCTAGCTCTAGGGGGACCACAGGAGGTGGCGGATTATATGCAGGATACTTGGATGTAATCTCCTGTCGAAAGTTGTGGTAATCCAAGGGCGAGGCAGTGAGAAAAGGGGTCCTTCGATTAGTGGCTGTTTTTCTCGCCTCGAGGGTCGGCTCTAGTGCTTCCTTGGCCTCCTTCAATTTATCAGTGCCTCCGAAGAAAAGCAGCAAGGACTTCCAGAATAGAAGAATGACTCTGGTCAGCGGAACATTGGCAGAGTCGTCCCAACGCAACCGCGCAATGATCTCCACCAGGAACACAAGCAGATTTGGCTCCAGACTCATGAGAGTATCTCTCAGAGGGGCATTCCGGGTATCAAGAGCGTCTTGCTTGCGGCCGACTTCCACAGACAAATAAAGAGCCGTCAACACCAGATTTGCTTCTCTCTCCAGAGCAGCAACATAGGCAGGGTTGGCGCCCTCTTGTCCCGTACTGTCCGCGTCCGGTGCGGAGGAACTGCGATGCCTCTCAAAGACACAGCATAGGCAGTCCATCAGTGGCTGGATACCCGAGCATTCTTGGAGCAGGCAAACATTCTGTTCAATCCATTTGATTTGAAGTGACCGGCTTTCGGCCTCTGCACCTGGCTGAGGACAACCCTCCGGGAGCTCATCCACAACTCGACCGGCCGTCAGGCCCCAAACACCAGTCAAAGCATAGCATATGGCCTCCAAGGCCTCAATTCGGACAAGGACTGCACGGTCACCTAAGTTATTAATAAGCTGGCTCATAAACGTCTTTCGTAATTCATAAGAGGCGGTGATCCAGGACTGCATAGCACTGTCCACAGACTGCTCTTCGCAGAAACAACTCCATCTATGGTCAAATGACGACTTCATGCCAATGAGCATGACTCTGTCGAACTCGCTGTACTGGAACCATTCCTCGACTTCCTCGGCGAATGGCTGGGAGTCTGCATACTCGAAAGCATAGGCAGGCTGCTCAACCTTGGGCATCTCCTGGACCAGCTGTTTCAGCTGAGCAAGACTCAATGAATCAGATGGTCTTTCCACATGTTGCTGAACCGGAGCTGGAGGCGGTGGCTGTAGAGGTGGCGGTGGGGCAGAAGCATCCCGACGCAGCTCAGGGCGTTTTGGTGCTCTGTGAATCTCTACTGGTGCTTCATTAGGCGCAGTAGGTACATTCTGCTGCGACTGCTCCTGGCGTATTCCCTCGGCTACCTCCTCCATCAACTGGTCATCCGAAACGGGACTGATGTCCGTTCCAGTCTGGTCAACTTCATCTGCTTTAACGAAATGATGCTCTTGCATGGCACTATCCGCAGGCTCCGATGCATCATCCATGTTTGTGTAACTATGAGGCAATGAGGTTCTAGAGACGACAGATCACAGAAGGAAATAATGAAGGATGTTCAGAAACAAAATCAAGGGTATCAGTTGGAAGTGAACAGGGGGGGAAGCCCGGAAGAAGTTAAAATAGAAGGTTAAAATCCAAGCGACAAGGCGGAGTGGGAGAGATAATGTCAGAGACTATCCAACATGGTTATTTAGTCAAGAAAAGGACACATGGTGTCTTTTATGGCGGTTCTGAGGCAGCTCTCTCCGCAGTCTTTGTGAATCGACGATGACCACGCGAGGAGTTTCGGGGAAGCTGTCGATCCGCGGGAGCTGCTGGTCACGTGCGAGGAACACCCCTTGAAGTGGATCTCTCTTAGTAGGAGTCAAGAAGCAAACAATAAGAAGGTTGATCTCGATTCTCCGATCCTAGAAGATCCAGTCGCTACTATTCTAGTGTTCCTGCACTCTTTTTAATCGTAGAAGTTCATCTTCAGAGCCACATTCATTCCCGAGCACTAGTACTAATTACTGTGTAGTACTAGCAGTCCCCGTCTTCCGGTAATATATATCCTGTGGATCTGCATCATGTTCGGACTGGTATCATCATGCCATCCAAGAGTTACTATTGCTAATACTAATGCTTCAACTTTAATGTAAGCAGCCTAGTATCTTGTATATAGATGAGGCCTATAATAGTACACAAACTTGTAATTGTATTATCTGTAACCCCCGTTAGGATCGAACCAAACCGAGAGACTTTCACTTTGCATGCCTTGTAGTATGCATTTATGTATCAAGGGCAGTGAGATCTATGGGTATCGCTGAAGATGGCACGTATATGGAATTGCTCTTCAAATTTGCCACATTGACATCTTCGAATCGCACTATTCGGTTTTTGATGATGTCTGACCACGGGGCCCTTTCCGCTTCAACTTCTGCTTAGCCTCCCAGCGTTGCCAACCGGCCTCGGCGAGATCTTCGTTCACCACCAAATCTCTCACACGGAAGAATCGGAAAATCTCGAGATTCAAGGCCCAATCAATCCATCCTTGCGATCGAAGAAGCCCGGTGACAAAGAACCAAGCGAATGCACATATCACACCTGCGCCACATCCAGCCAGGACCTGCCTGGGGGTGTGGTAGTTCAGGTAAATGCGGCTAACGGCTACTGCACCAGCACCGAGACACAATACCAAGGAGATCAACACTCGCATCCAGAAGTGAAGGGCCGCTCCTGACTGCGATAAGCTCGGACTGTGCCGGTAAATGAGGAAGAGTGATGCGTAGATGGCGAGATAGGCCATAAACTGGGCATG